GGAGTATATAATACCACTGCGGGCAGGAGTAGTAGATAGCTGCGGTCAGAGATACGAAGAGGACAAAGAAGCCTGTAACTCATCTACCCCAAGACCCACTGGTATTGAGGGTTTCCAGGCTCGCAGTAAATTTAACACCTCTCCATGCCCCCCAGTAGACGCATAAAAAAGTGGTGTATGACCGTTTATGTCCGGTCTGTCTGGGTACACATCTTGACGAGCCAACAGTAAATTCACTATACGTTCATGCCCCTTTCCAGCAGCCCATGAGAGAGGGGCCCTGCCCTCGTTGTCTGGTTTGTCAGGGTTGACATCTCCCCGGTCCAAAAGTAGCTTAACCACTGACTCGTGCCCTTCCATCGCAGCCCAGGAGAGGGGTGTATTGCCCTCATTATCTGGCCTATCAGGTTCGACATCTTCCCGATCCAGAAGCAGCTTGACCACCAACCCGTGCCCTTCAAATGCAGCCCAGGAAAGTGGCGCAATTCCGTCGTCGTCTGGCTTATTAGGGTTGACATCTTCCCGGTCCAAAAGTCGCTTAACCACTGACTCATGCCCTTTCATCGCAGCCCAGGAGAGGGGTGTAATGCCCTTGTTGTTTGGCCTGTCAGGCTCGACATCTTCCCGATCCAGAAGTAGCTTGACCACTACTCGTGCCCTTCAAATGCAGCCCAGGAAAGGGGTGTAGTGCCCCTGTTGTCCAATTTGTCGGGGTCGATCACTTCCTGCGCCAGTAACAGTTTCACCGCCTCCTCATGCCCACCCATCGCGGCCAATATAAGCGGCGTCATACCCATAGAATCTCTTTGGTTAGCATCACAGTCATCCATTCCCAACAACACAGCCATAGCTTCCACAATCCCGAAGAAACATGCACAGTGTAGTCCACTAAACCTTGAAGGAGCGTTGGCATCAGCGAGGTCACTGGGATTTGATATTTGCTCAAAAAGTGTGCTAGCGGCTACATGGTTCTCGTGCTTGTCCAAGAGCTTCATTGCCAGTAGCATCGTGGTATCTGAAAGCTCTCTCTTTGCGTGGGTGCCCCAATACCTCGAACTATATTTGAGGAAAGGCATGCTCGAGAGGTCAGGCGGTGACTTTACGGAGAGGGCCTTGGTCTGGTCTGAGTTCAGATAGGTCAGGCACGTCTCTGCCATTACCGAGTGAGCTCGGGTGGAAATGTTTGGAAGAGCAGAAAGGTACTCTTGGAGTGTGTGGTGGATCAACCGGACAGTGGAGGCCTTCTTATCCACAGTGACCAGTCCTTGACAGCAGGCAATCAATGTCTCCGTCGCTACAACATTGTCGCTATTGAAGCTCGCAGATCCACTCTCTACAGCGAGCGCATGACGCAGCTCATCCACCAGTAATGGCCGCTCCGAATGGCATATCCACATTAGGGTGGTCGTGGCAAGGTTCGCTTTCTCCACATCTTGAGCTCCTATTCTTTCTAGTGTTGCCTCGTATGCATCCCCCAACCCTAACCCACCCCCCATCCCATTCAGCCTGTTCCGCCTCCGATGAATTGTTGTTTCTCTCAGGATTGTATCCACCTTGAGCGAAACCAGAAGGAATCTGCGCTCGCACCTATCAGTATATCGCTTAGAAAGGTTTCCCGGATCCCACACCACTACTTACGTTTCCGAGATCTCCTCAGGAATGCTCCTCATGATATCGTTCTCCAGCCCACTATCCATCACCTCGGGAGTCGAGTCCTTCCTCAGTTTGGCACGCAGATATGTGATTATATCATCATCCCTGGGTCTTATCGATACACTTGCTGCCACCCCACCCAGATCCCTCTCAATTGCTCCCTTGATGTGTGACCTTCCAGTCACGAACATTCGAGTGTTTGGCGACCTCCGGAGAATCTGCCCCAATGCATCAAGGACATCGGGTCGATGTTTTGGGACACATTCATCCAGGGCGTCAATACATATGAATGTGCGCTGCAAAGATGAGACACTCGGGAACATGTTCACGATATCAGAAAGTTGAAGTCTTCGGCCACCAATCGCCTTCTTCTGGCCCCGAAATCTCTTCCTTATTTCTACCGGGATTGAGTCTAATCCACTAACAAGCTGTTTGAGCACAGCGCCGAGCATATTTGTCGGAGACTGCTCCTCCCGTGAAGCAAAATCATAGTAAAAACACGCAACTGCGATATCTTGTTCCATAGCCTGGTCGCATAAATAGTCTATCACCACAGAACTACCCATCGTGACTCGTCAGAAATCGCACCCTTTGTTTGTCTCTCGTTGGTGGTCCCCCATACCTAATGAAGCTCTTGCCGACCCCCGGATCGCCATAGCAGAACAAGGCCGAATGATCAGATCCGTCCCCCTCACCGCCATTATACCAGCTTCTGAACTCTTCTGTCCCCAGCAGCCAGTCCCCTACCCTATCCACCCGTTGATTGCGAATATATTGATGCCGCGTATGGGGCTCTAAGGGAGAGAGCCAGCCCAGGATTTTGGACTCATCATCGGCAGCGGTAACGGTAATGTGATTCACATTAAAAGAGTTGACGTTGTCGGTAAAAGCTCGAGACATCCTTCGCTTTTTCGTTGTGGGAACCCCGTAGAGATCGGGTTGTTGAAGCTTTAGCTCAGTCGACACTCCCTGTTAGTTTATGAAAAGCGGGGTTCATCGCTCATCCTCGCAACCACCCAACAACTTGGCGGCCCAACCAAAGACAAGAGATTTGTGAAACAGTACAGTACTTCGTACTCGAGTGCCTGAGCCGTGCTTAGCCCCACCACCTTGGCTAACTTAAGAGTCCAGAAGGAGCACGAAATCCTCGCCTCGCCACGAGCCGCCATGTTTCCTTTACAAACCAATTTACATAACCAAGTTGCAGTACCATTCTGGTTTACGGGGAGGAAGTACGTACCCCAAACCCCCTCTTGCATCACCCAGAGGCCACATCTGCAGAACGTACCGGTATTCCCGTTACGACCGAAAAAATGCACGATGCCACCAGTGGAATATATCCAACCCCTTCAGTAAAATTCTAAACTCCCCATCAAGCTATAATATAATCTCTTGCGCTCATATAGTGCCTTACACGCAAGAGGTGTACCGTGCTCCATGCAACATGTAACGCTCAACCCTCTATAAAACTAGCACTATACCCTAAATCCTGCCTTCATATAATAGTAAAACATTAGCTTTCGTTTACATCAGCATAATAAATTGATAATAGAGTAGAACGATTGACTGGTTGTGTCTGAGCCTGAGCTGTTGAAGCCATAGTATTGGAACTAGGGGGAGAAGCTAAGTTTGCTATTGAAAGGTGAATATTGATCCATTTTGTTGTGACTTATGATAGGGAGAGTCGGTGTTTCAGTTGCATAATATTTGGAAGCACAATCTGAATGTAAGAGCAAAAAGTGCTAAAGGTATTATTAATTTAGGATATCGTTGTTAATAAAAGTTAATATTTTATTATGGAGGCAAGGATTTAGGGTATAGTGCTATTTTCATAGAGGGTTGAGCGTTACATGTTGCATGGAGCACGGTACACCTTTTGCGTGCAAGGCACCATATGACACCATACCCCCCCCCCCCCCGGAGCAGCTCAAACCCCTTCACCTGATATCAACAAATGCTCCAAGACCCTTTCCCGTTTTCCCTCCCAATCACTACCACTACACAACCGCGGAACCCATAAAGCCCAACCTTATTACGAAAGAGATAATAAATAAACAAGAAACCAGAATCAAAGGTGTATATCTGGAAAGTATAAAGGCGATAATGCCGACACGAAACGGGAAGAAAAATAAATAAAAAAATAAAAAATAAAAGAAAAAGGTGACAGGAGCGTACGGACAAGAGATTTTAGTATACTCGAGCAGAGCAAGATGTATGCTAACGAAGCCTCACCAGAAACTCCCAAATCCCCAAAGTGCTAATACGGTATACCTGCCAAACGGCGCTACCCCTAATATGGATACAGTAAATTTACCTCCCATTTTCCAAGATTCCCGTACATACCATGAGCGTGGTCACGAGAAGAGAGCAACCACCAGCCAGACCGGCAGTCATCACACCCAAAACAACGGCAGCAAGCGATGGCCCCCACGAACCCCCAACAGACCAACATCCAGAACGAGTGAAACTCCATGACCCAAATACAACCCTCTCATGAACAAGCATGACAGCAAAATCACCAGAATCCTAAAGCATAATACTACATAAAACCCTAATACCATAAGTCAACCCCCGATTGCAAGCAAAAAAAAAACAATTTCAAGGAAGCTGCGCGAGAGGTATGCACTACCTAATAGAGAAAGATTGTACCTCTCATGATACCCCGGAACGGTGTATAATATTACGATAACAATGATGCATCATGGATAGGAGCACGATAATCACAACCCCCCCCCAACAACAACACACACACTACAAGTACAAGCTTGGCACTATCCTAATCTCCCAACTCTCGTACAGCGGCATGCAAATTCTAAAAAACAAAAAGTGAAACCCGAGTGATGTCCCATGAATTCGCATGCAAAGGTCTGATATAATACGATACGGACCCGGCTGCAATACCGGTAACCGTATGCACTGAGTGTGGAGAAAATGAATGGGTGGGAAAGCTTGGATTTGGTATTCGCTCGAGAACCCAATCGTGCTTCTCCTCGTCCCATGCGGGCGGTGAGATGGGTCCTTCCGTTTGTTTGTCCGTCCGTCACCCAGGAATGGATGGTATGGAGCGCGAGGGGATTTCTCTAGGTGATGGGTATGATGCAATGATGCAGACATCGTATTACGCTGCGCCGCTCGTTGAGATAGTGTTACCGAGCCTGTAAGGTTTCTACGGCTTGTCTGTCCCTTGCAGGGCCCACACTCGATGAGCATCTACCAATAAGTTGAAGGGGATGGCTGGACGAGTTATATGGATGCCTCACATAGAGCTTGCATAGCAAAGTTATGTGCTCTACTCAATAAGAGGTGTTACTGTCAATCCTATGATATGCCGCTAACATGCAACCCGACTCCATGAAAACTTGAACGTTTGTTCCTAGCGGTAGTAGTGATTTATACAAAGGAAAAGTCGGTATAACAACATGAGTTTTTTAAACAGGAATAAGAGGGAAATGATACAGAGGGAATAGGAAAAATAAAAAATAACCCAGAAAACAGTACAAAAAAAGAAAACCAGAAGCGATGATATACAAACTCTTCTCCGGTTTTCTCCTTTTATGATTCGGGAATTTCACCCGGCGCATCGTAAGGAAAGGTGCAAATAATGAAACAAAAAGAAAACAAGTAACTTAATCATCGCCCATGTCCCGCAGCAAATACTCATCCCAATGGTGATGAGGAGCAAAGGCTCTGTACTCCACGCCCGGAACATATACACCGATCCCCATACACCCATATATCTACGACCCTCAGCTTCCCCGTTCCTCCAATTCAAACTCCAAAGTTCCAGTCGCCAAACCCAGTAAAACTTCGAATAAGAATCTGCCAGTGGGCGAGACGGAGAACGAAAAGCCCAACAAAAGTCCATCCATCTAACGTATCGCCACAGAACGCTAATACCAAAAAATGCGGGAGGGGAAAAAAAATAAACAAACAATGCTGAAACCAAAAAGATATGCAAAGAGAGCGAAACGACACGCTCGCTCCAGGAAATATACAGATTTGCGATCCTCATGAAATTGCAGACAATGTGGGACGCGGTGTCCTTGTCTGGCTACGCGGGAAGTCATGGTGCTTCCTTGCCCAATGCGTACAACAGTAATAGCTCTTCCAGTAAAAACAAAGACAAACGAAAAGCAATAATCAAACACATAATAAATACAATGCTGAAACCCAAGATGCGCCCCGTTTCGCTACCGCCCCAAACCATTTTCTGCAAAAAAGTGCAAACGAAGCAAATGCGCTGAAAAGAATATATGCTGCACCAGGCGGGGAATATGAACAGGTAAGGACCGAGAGAACTGTGTTGGAATATGTACCAACCCGTCCAGGGCCGTGTAACAACACTATCATGATGACGGTAATGGTGATGATGACGAAAAAAAGGAAAACTCCGTCCCAAAGAAAGAGCCCGACGCTCGCTAAAGATGATAAACAAGCCGATTGTGAGATACTCTCGGTTGCTGAAGCTTGGAGAACCGACAGGTGCAGATGATCGGCCGACCGAAAATGGTAAAACCGGACCAACATGTAAAAAAGGAAACCCCAAACCCAAACGAAATGGTCATAACTGTACTTGAACGTCGTGCAACGGCACCGGATTCCTAGTATGAGACCATCCTTCTTGTCTCGGAGCGCTGCCGAGAACCGAAAGATGATTCCACTCCCTCCTTCGAGCATCCACTGGTGGGACGCTTTCCAAAGTTGGCACTGGGGCTACTCTCGACATTATCGTGATGATGAGCTCCAAATGTAAAGCTTTGTGTGCGCCCAAACTTGGTATTCCTGCGGAATTTGCCCATTTCCTTCTCACACGCCTGGCGATGGGACGCATCATTCATCTCAACATATTGCTGAGGTTCACATCGCCCACGGTGTTCCTGGAAAAAGGACGAATATCCGCCATCGAGGATATACACATCAGGATAGAATAAGGCAGGATAGCGGTGCATATTTAGCTGTCTATCGCGGCTTCGGAGGTGGAGAGCCCTAAAACAGAATTAGCGAACACCTAAGAATGAGGGAAACCAGAACCCAATATACATTCTAGGCGCGCGATGAGCGGAGTATTCGCAGTGAAAGATGATGAGAACCCTTCCTGTTTTGGGTCCATTAAAAAACAGTTTCTCCAAATTCTCGGTTGAGTTGACGTTGATAGCGCCAACAACGTGTCCGCCATCATACTCATACTCAAAACGGCAGTCAACAACTAAGATCTCGTCATAGTGCTCCCTGTATTCACCATCCATGACCCGGCACAAAACCGATTTTTTGATACGCCTCAATGGATCATCCTTGATGGTGAAGCAGGGAAGCGTCGAATTCTCGCCCGGCGATGCCTTGGCCGGTGACATGGAAACCTTAGGCGTCTCCCCGGCGCATTGCATAACGTCCTCAGGGTGTTCGAACATGCTCAAAGTACGCCTAACCTTTCCCTTGGGACGGTTGAACTTGGGACGGTTGAGGGGAGCAATTGGTGAGCCATCCAAAGCAAATTTGCTTCCACCGCTTCCCATAACGTTCGGCATGGAAAAAGGCTTTGTCGGCGGTGGGGAAGCCATGATACTGGGAAATCCAATCTTCTTCTCATCCCGTGTGGGGGAATCACCAAAGAGCTCCTCCAGTTTTATCTGAGGAGCGGTGGCAGCTCTGCCGAAGAGCGTGGGTGTGCTATGTGAGCTGGTAGACTTGAAGGAGATACCCCCAGAGGCGTGGCGATTGTGTCTCAACATTGAAGGACGTGTAAAGTTTGATGATTTCTTGCGTCTGCAATAGTCAGCACCAAATTGTCACAACAAACACAAGCATCACATACTCAGCGGGCCCTGGTCTCCTTGCCGGTGGGTCGTTACGAGGAAGTTCTGGAACGGCACTTGGCGGACTCGAACATATATTCATGCTCAAGTCTTGGGTAGGAGACGAAGGGGTACGCATCGCCTGAAACGCCGGTTTGTGAGGCAGAGGAGAAATATCCATGGCATCACCGATTGGCGATGAAGTGGGAATCGGAGGAGTCGTGACAGAGGCTGTTATGGTCAGCTAGAATACCCCCTTGACAAACCGCAAGCAACACTCACAACGCCCGTGGAGGCCAAATGGGAAGAGAGAGCGTCTCGGTGTCGGGTGCTGGGGCCTGTCTTCACGTTAATCCTAAAATTCCGGGCAAAGGGCAATTCGCCGGAAGAGAACAAACGTTTTAATGTGGAAGTTCTGTGACAGGTCCGCAACCAGACTTGATGTAGGGGATGATTCCAATCGAGATCCCAAATCAAAATAACTTGTGCCCTCCACTCTCGACCTCACATTTAATTTCGGCCCAAACAATGAATCAGAAATATTGGAGGAAACGCCCCGGCGAGGGGAGTTTGATGGGAAGCCTCCGCTCGCCAAAGACCATGGCGAGCGGTGAAACGAAGGTGGTTGTAACGCGGCTAAGGGGGATGACGCTTCAATTTCCATTTTGAAGATTGGAAAGAAATTTCTCGGAGGTTGATTATCGTTTATAATAATGGGTCGACAGAGAGCACTGGGCAGTCGGAATTGAGGTTCCCACGGTGGGATATGTAATTATCAGACGACTACACAGTAATTTTTGGTATTCGGCCGTAAAAATCCTTTTCCTTATTGCAACTGAGCAGCAAAAGGCCAGATATACTTCGCAGTCCACTAGTGTCTCTTTTTTCTTCTTTTCTTTCTGTTCCCTTCTCTCTCTCTTTCTCTCCTTAATCCAGCAAGTTCTATCTTCGACGCGGCCCAAGCACGTTTCGTCAACGATGTTTTATGCAACCAAGCAAAAAAATAATAAGAATTCCCAACCGGACGGTCGATGCAAGATCTCTCCGGATGAGGGGGAGGGGAACTGATGTGTAGACGAGGGGAATATATCGACTTTGAGATGAGGTGTCGTCGATGGAACAGCAATGCTAGCTGACTATTGATGGTTAGTAGAGGGTGGCTGTCGAAGATGAATGGTGAAGCAGGAGAGGAAGTGAATTAAGAGGGGGGGGGGTGAAATAAGAGCAAGCAGATGGTTGACCCGAAACTGCAGGTGGAGAGGCGAAAGCTGAGATGTGCTTATGTACGACATGAGTCTCGCGTCGTTACTGAGGCGACAGGGCTCGGCATTCGTTGCAGAGCAACAGGTTAGCCATGCATCAACCTCGATTGGGCGGGCTGACAGAGTCTGTGGCTGCCAAGCCCCCCACCGAATGACCAAGCCTGTCTTCCTGGCTCTCACCTTCTGTCTTCCACCACTCGTTCGCTGGTTGGGCGTCGTTCCTCTGAAGCACCTGCATGCATAAGTATGCGATTGCTCTGCAGTAACCGGGGTCTCAGCGAATCCGATAGGACAGCAGAGAAATGGCGAGGGCGGGGGTGGGGTGTTGGATGGATGATTGATGGTCTCACATCCCTGCACCTTTTTTAATGTCTTGCTCTCTTTTTTCCCATCTCGGCGAGAGCCAGGCTCGTGAGACAAGCATCACCAGCCAGCTCGGTGGGGAGGAGGCATGGCCGCAGGAGAGGATACAGTCTCCGGGTACGGGTACACCATTCGTAAACGGGTGTATTCAAACAAGTACTAGTATAACCTAGCAGAGCACCCGTAGGCTAATTGTTGGCTCGAGAGGAGGGATGGGGGGGGTCGTTGCTGGGGAATCCTCTCTAATCTCCCATATGATACTGTACGAGTACTCTTACATTGAGGGCCATCATTTCTCCGTTTACCCAATTGAAGGTATAACTCAACCACCGGATCAGCCGACAAATGCGGAGATTAACTCATCCAGCCAAGTTCTAAATAGGGGCATATTGCTCCAAGCCGTGTTCCCCAAACGAGAGATCTCGGAGATCATAATAGCCATAAATATTTCGGGTGGTACATTTTTGAGCGCCGCACTGCAGCAGCAGGTCGGACGCGTTCAAAAACACGCTCACATGTGACATGTCGCGAGGGAGAATTCCACCGACCACCCATGATGGTGACCAGAGGGGAAAGAGCAGCCAGAGCAACAACCTAACGCCAGTTACCGGTATTCCATACTAGTATAGAGTGCTCGTAAATGTAGAGGTATACAGTCGCACCCCGTTGTCCCGGACCTCGCTCTCCCGGATTCTTCGCTGTTCCGGATGAATTTCTATGAATTATAAATTTCTTCACACCAAAACCAAACATGTTGTCCCGGATAACTCGCTGTCCCGGACGGATTCTCAGGATTTTGGCCGTCCGGGACAACGGGGTGCGACTGTAACTCGTGTTTATTATTATTTATTTTTTCGGTTTTTCCTCCCCAGCCGAAAAAAAAAGAATTAACGATACGAAAACAATACGCCAAGTTCTACTCGAGGAGAGACTCCGAGGGAGAGAGTGTGTCTACCGGTACATAAGGATCCGTCTTCGGTCCCAGAGCCCTTGCTTTCTCACATCGGAGGCCTTGCTTCGTAGCTTATGGGCCACAAGAAGCCGAAACACCAGCCAACCGATCGACCAACACCGTACCCAACCGGAGTGGTAAATAAAGCATCATGAGCAATAGTAGCAGGGGGGCTACCTGTAGTGTAGGACCCCCCCTTCCCCAGCGACTCTAGAGATCGGTTCGTTCACTGGAATAAATATCGGCCTTCGTCACATACTGTAGTCAGGTCTGCTCTGCTCGAGTACGGTATCGCATTAACTTATATTTCGCCATGTTTATTTTCTCTCGAAATCCTGCCGCTGCAGGCAGAGATTTTTTCCCCCAATTGACCCACTGTTCCCTTCATCTCGTTCTCCCATCGTCATCCCCACGCAATCCCCTAAGATCGCGGTTAGATCGTGCTCCGCCTGGCCAAGGACCAGTTTCCTCGAAAGCTCATTGGCCCTTGCTTGCTTCTTCTCACCCCCTTCCTTTGCCCCCCCCCCCCTTCCATCACTTTGAGAAAGAAGTTAGAGTCTATTTATGCCCGGGACCTCACCGCGAATAAGAATCAGCAACTGCACAGGTCAATCCGTCCCTTCCCTCTTTCCATTCCTCTCCAACCTCCTTCTGACATCTCCCGCCTTGCTTTCCCGCTTTGTAAAGGTATTTTTTTTTCTTCTGTTTGTTTGCTAAAATAGGATCACCGTATTTTACAGTACCTTACTTGCGCTACATAAGAAACTAGGTTATGGTCGAGGACGAGGATTGCTCGGAGGAGGGAAAGAGAAAAAGGAAAAAAAAAAACTCCCAAGAAAATTTTCGTAAATACAAGTACGCAAACAGCCGGCCCCTGTCAGGTTTTCATGCTCCAGTATCCGCAACCGGTAAAGGGAGAGCTCAAACTGCTGATAGCGGAATGGCCAGTGCGGCTAACCGCCACCGGCAATCTAGCGGAAAGAGGGAAAGATGAAGGGGAAAAAAATCATAACCAGCTGAGCCAGGATGATATCGATTGATTGATGGCTGATTGCTACCGCGGTAGCTACCGGTAGAGCAACAACAACATAAAAACACAGAAGTACACTCCCCCCCGGTGGGCGTTGGGCTGGGTTGGGCCTGATTGTTTCATCGACTGATTGAGACGATTGATTGAGAAGGGAACGACGAATGAAGGCACAGGAATCACCCCAAGTCCTCGGTGCATGAAAAGCTGCCGGTAGCGAGCCCATGACGAGAAAAAAACTCTGGAAGGGTTACAGTACGGTGCCGGCATGGTATACGGTGGTGGTTCAACTTCTCGGGTTGATCACGGTCGATGCTGAACAAGCATCATCATCATGATCAGTAAGGGAGCCGGCAGGGCTGAATTAATCGCGGCAACGGATGTTTAACCAGTTTTAGCCCTGTCTCAGGCCCATGTCACATTGTCGGGGAAGAGAGGGAGGGGTGGGGTGGGGTGGGGTCGGACGGGGGGGTGATGGCTTTTTCTTCATTCCTGGTGGCCGGCCGGCCTTCCACGAGTACTATAGTTGCAAACAACACGCTCTCTTCTCGGACACTCTACGCGCAGTCATGTGACTTTCCGCTAAGGCTTTTTGGGACACCGGTATAACGAGTAGCAACCACTCAAACCATCGGACAGCCCAACAATGATCGAGGTTGTTTTGGAGTGGAGGCTTAAAGTATGGCTATTCATAGGAACTGATATCGGATACGATATCAGGCTGTCCAATCATCCTTCGTTTAGAGACTGATTCTTTGATCACACCGTACATGTACCTCTATCTCACCACCACACCCTCCTGAGGCCTCCGCTGCATACCGTACCATACCGGTATTACCGGCATCCACTACTCGAGCATAACTACTTGCACACAATCATACTTGTATACCGGCGTGCGCCCAAATAGCCACGATGCAGTCCAATTGACCATTTCCGATTGAAGTGATAAACTTGAGCTGCGAAAATTGACCCTTGGGCGCTCGCTTCACATCCCCCCCCCTGGGTGCTGAGACCGAGCGGTTTAATGTTACCTGGCAACCAAAAAAGTAACAACAACAAACTGCACTGGATCTCCTTCTACAAAAGTCGACCAGAGGGAGGCCGGTACAAGCATGACACACGGGATACAGCGTCGTGAGCAATCAAGCAAGGACCGTAACCCATCTCAAGGGAAAGTCCCGCAACACTGCGACCTCACAGTTACAGATCTGACCCTTCGCTTCGGCCCCGAGTGGAAGGAAGTGAGGGTCAGATGCTCGCGCGCAGTTGCCGTGGCCCCACGCGTCCATCGACGGAAGATTGCCTGGGTCCAGTCAGAAATCACACGAAACGGTTGCGGCTTTGTATCATCCTCTTCCTCCCTCCCTCAGGCATACGGGACACATACCGCTCCAGTGCTCGTACATGCAAACTGTAACCTTGGAGGTGGAGGGCTAGGGAAGGTACGGTAGTAGGTACCGTATGATACCGGTATGATAGCCAAAAACCTGCAGTTACTTGTACCGTGCTCGAGTGCTTGTATAACCGAAAAAGCCTGAGCCTCTCATTTTACCATTATTATTATCTGCTTTACAACCTATTAACTAATCCATTTGTACTAGGGCACAGTGCTCAGGTTCCGTACCGGTACTGTACTTGTACACAGGGTACGTTTTCCCCGCCTCCGTGATGCAGCTTACAGGTACTAGTACAAGTATTTGTAGCATGGGTTGTGGTGGAGCCAAAAAAAAGGCCAATGTTTTGATGACGGGATGTGCCCCTCAACCAGCCGGTTTCCACAGCAACGGAACATCGAGCCTCATGGAAAGGCACACACGAGGTCAAGGGGAAAAGAAATAAGCCAAAAACACATGACCCCCGTTTCATGGCATCCTGGACCTTCGAGGTACTCGAGTACGGTATGGAGTTTCACATAAAAAATGGCTGGAAAACCACTCAAAACGCCGGAGTGAACCCAGCTATTATCCCGAACCCCACAGGAGGAAGGGAAGGGGAAAAGGGTACGCTACCTCAAACCTTGCTTACGGCACCGCTCGTATCTCCCCGCACTTTTTTCCTCTCCTTCGCACCTGGTTAAAAGTGGAAGAATGTAAACACTCCACCCCCCCGCCCCCTCTCTTTTCTTGACGGTCGATGACCGGTCACGGTACTTTTTACCCGCTTGGCTTCCTTTCGTCTCCACCTTATTTCGTCCGCATTATATTTGCTGTGAGAATCTTCTTCACCTGGCCGATCTTCAGGATTGATGATGAAACTTGGGAAGCCCCAAGATTTTCACACACAACACGATCAATGGAGTTTCCGAGGTTCGAGAGTGTCCTGAGTGCGGACGCTATTGTCGTACAATCACAAGTACCGGCTCAATGGTCCATAACAAGTCTGGGTCCCGGAGGGGAAAAGCTGGAAAAAAGCTGGAAGGGATGGGAGAAAATAGGCAAACATCGGTCTGCTGTAAGCGTATAGTGCCGCACAGGCATTGTACGAGTACGCCCCAGGAGAAGAAGTATTAGTATACAAGTATTATTATTAGACAACCTCCTACCGGTACGATAATCTCTTCTTACTCGCCCTCCCTCACTAGCAGTCTGGTTTGGCTCTTTCGCTTGCGGTTTTACTTGCCTTACCTGCTGTCAGCCTGCGTGCTTGATTGGTGATATACCGGTACTCCCCCCCCCCCTACAAGAGTGATATACGGTACACTCTTGTACTTGTATATATCGCAAGGCAAGGCCTTCTTCCTCTTCCTTCTTCTTGCTCCTCCCTAGTACTGGTATCATACCGCACAGTGCTAGTACAGTACTTGTCTTTGACAACTCACCGAGAAAGCAATCTCCCGTAAAATTACCGACCGCATGATATGGTAACGGGAGCGAAAGGAAAAAAGAAAAAAAAAGAAAGGCTCGTCATCACTCTTATGTAAACCGATCTTGTCCTCTCTGGCCCTATCTTTTGACTTTTCCTTGCCGGGGCGGGGCGGGCGGACAGACGGTGCGGAACGTGGGCCAGCTTACGGTAGCCCCAGTGCAGGCCAAGTTTGCAAGTTGGGTAGTTCCGTTGCAGGTCTTGGAAGATTTTTTCACTTCTCTTTTCTTTTTTTCCTTCTGCTTCCTTTCATTATCCCGCTCATGGCGTGGCAGAATACTGGTACTATTGCACGAGCAGTGTATGGTACTAGTACTCGTACACACTCGCACAGTACAAGTACTTGACTGCATGTTTGGGTATAAACCCAGTCCGGCCCACCGGTAGTGTTTTCTTGCTCGAAAGTCCCTTCCCGCACCGTGCCGCGCGCAGCGGAGAACTCGGAGCAAACCAACCAACGAAGCAGGGAGCGCAGAAGAGAAACCTCTTCATGGGAATTGAGCCGCGACATTCTGCTAGTCTAGTAACCTTACCGGCAGGTTCAAGTCGATTGCTCTAGCTCCGTCCCTCGCTCGGCCTTATGATACATCCCACGGACGTTTCCCGTCCGATGTTCGGACGGACAGGACACGGACACGCCATGATACCATGCCCTATACCAGTATATGAATCGCATATCCGGATCTCCGATGCGGAATTACAGATAATCTTCTAGACTCGATGCGGTAGGATATTTTGTTCCTGGAGTTCTCTGTTGTCCGGACGACACTCCATGAATACTGTACGACGTGTGCTATCTCAGAGCGGGCTTCAGACACCTGGACAGGCGCGAGCAACGAAGGGAGAAGAATGCCAAGGCTAAAAGCGACAACACCGCACAGTACAATACCGGTACAGTACACAGTATGATACCTTTCAAAAAGTCAAAGCTCAAATTTTTTAATTTTTTTTTCCTTTGTTCGTCGTCACAAATTGTTGGGGAAGAAAGAAGTACTGTACCGGTACCATACAAGTTCATCGCGCTTTGAATCCCTTTGCTTTGCTTTGCTTCGCTCCGTCATGCCGCTCCCGATCAGACTTTTTTTTTTCTTTTCTGCCAGCGGATCGGACAACTCACGATTCTAGCATTCCAGGACTAACCGATTACATACGAGTACTGTACTAGTACTCGTACTCAGTAGGCATGTGGGTGGGTACGGGTGGGGGAGATGGGTTACGGTATTACGGTTCATCGATGGAAGGGGGGAAATGTATTGCGCGGGTACCGGTACTCAAGTACAGTACTCTCTACTTGTAAATACATAGCGGAAAGGATTACAGCGAATGTTGGCAACAAGAAAACTTGGGTATGCGGGCAGGCAGGCAAGCCGGGTGCAAGCATGGAAACAATCTCGATTTGTGATACATTTACATCTACGGTCACGGGTAGAAGGGAAGGAATGGATGAAGGCTGCTACCGGTAGGAGATGCAACGATGATGATTAACCAATGGTAATGCATACAGTGTATTTGGGTAACAGGTACAAGACAAACAAAACAAGAAATGCAGACATTAGATTGTGTATCATATTTCCTCCGAGATGTAGGGTGATCGCTAAGGGGGGGGGGGGTTAGGGGATACAACAGCGCTTATTCTAACTTTGTGCCGCACCCTTCCCCTCCTATAATATCGCAAGCTACCAACTCCATCCACTCACATCCCCTTGATATCCATCCACCCATCCATACCCGCCGTGCTGGACCTGAACCCAGCAACACACACACACACATTCTTCCCAACCAATTCACTACTACTCCTGCTTACTCCTTTCCCCCAATCTACAAGCAGCGAATACCCTCCTCCAACGCACCTCACGGAAGAGGTAATATAGCAGGTATACGAGAAATATGTTACTGAAAATGTAAGCGCAGAATATGCCCAAATCCCGCCAATGCGTCGAGTACCTAACCCCCACCGTCAATCTCAATTCTTGCTAGAGCTGTGTGGGGGTCACATTTATACATACGCCATCTCCAGAGTTTCCAAAAACTCGTCACCGACTTTATACCTGCAGTACCTGCAATCCTCCCTGTCGTCCAGGTTCGCTATGGTCCCGTAGGCGGTCGAGATCCACTCGCCCGCATACTCGCGGCACGTCTGGCCGTCGGGGGGTTGGAAGGTGACCCATTCCGTGTCGGAACAGGAGACCGGGAGGTCGTGGAGTGATGTCGATATCAGGCCTTTTATCAGCCATGTTTGGGGGTTCACCCAGTATAGCCATCTCCTGTAGAATTCTGGGAGTTGTTCGTAGGGGACGAAGATTCCGGCGAAGCCGTTGATCACGACGAAGATGAAGGGGTTTACTGTTGTTTCGGCTTTTAGTTGGATGTGATTATCATTTGGGGAGTTGGTACGTACCGACGCTCATCACCGTCATATCCTTGCACATTGCTGCGATCCACATGGCCGCGTGCGGGATCCATATCTGGTACAGCACCATCAGGAAGAAGGCGTACCCGGCTGAATGAGAATCACGGGGTAGGCCCTCCATGTACCACCACGGGAAGAAGAACAATAGGGATCCCAATATGGCGTAGGGAATCTCGACCACCACCATGGCAGTGATGAACGCGGAGGAGGAGTATATCCTGCTATTCCGCTCGCGCGTCTCGTAAAGCGTGCGGAATTCTAGGAATTTGGGTTGTACCCCCGTTAGTATCATTTGCGACACGTGTACGATGGCGTAGACTCCAAAGGCCCGGGATTGCATTTCTTGTACTGTATTGCGGGAGTTTACGAATCTGTTGCGTTCACGAACGTTAGAGGTGATAAAATGGTGGTGGGTGTTAAAAAACGGATACTCACAAGACACCGCACAAGAGTGACATACTCAGATTGGAGAACATTTTGGAATAGCCGTAGGAAGCGTCTCGCCAGTAGTGTAGCCATACCCGCTTCGTGACTTCGAGCGTTTGGACGCTCAACGGCATGGCGTACTCCAGTGTTCTGTTTTGCCGTTCGTGGTTCAAATGCGATCTGCTGCCGTTGATGCTCTCAATATCGTTAGCTATTGCCAACGCCTCTGCTGAGTCTTCCCATATCTCTGCCCAGCTGCGTGGTCCTGGAGCTCGACGAATGGTCTATTTCTCTCTTAGTCTTCATCTATCACTCGGACTTGTAACTTGGGAACTTACCTGGAGGATATATTCCGCGGGGTTGGCATCCGGGGCAGCCTTCGCCGCACCGTTGCGCTCAAAGTATTCTATGATCGTAGTCCCGTTGTCGCCGATGGGTCCGAAGTAGACCTCCGCACCACCGGTGGTGAGAAGCAGCACGTCGTCAAAGTCCTGAAATAGGATAGCGCTGGGTTGGTGGATGGTGCAGAGGATAGCCAAACCCGCCTCATCCGCCAACTTTTTAAGGAACCGAACAATGGACAAAGCGCCCGTAGAATCCAGTCCAGACCTGCCCTCCATCAGTAAGAGAAAAGAGTGGGCGGAGGGAAGGAGGGTACTACGTAGGCTCATCCAAGAAGAACAAGGCCTCGGGCTTCGCAGCCAATTCCACCCCAATAGTGACCCTCTTCCTCTCCTCCACCGTTAGCCCAACCCCTGCATCGCCAATCAGGGCATCCGCCAGTCCCTCCAACTCCAACAATCCTATTATCCTCTCCACAAGAGCGTACTTTTCCCTCCGGGAGGTGGTAGCCGGTTGGCGGAGGACAGCCGAGAACCTGAGCGCTTCCCGCACCGTCGCTGTCCCATCGTGCACATCCTGCTGCTCAACGAATCCTGTACTCCTACCAAAGTCCATAGCCAGCTCCTTCCCGTCCAGCAGGAATTCCCCACCGACGACACCAACGCGCTTCCGCTGGGAGAGGGTGTCGAGTAGAGTGGTCTTTCCCGCTCCGCTCGGTCCCATTAAGGCTGTTAGCCCCCCAGGCCTCACGTAGCCGGTAATGTTATTCAGGAGGAGTCGTTGGTTAACGGTGTACGTGACATTTCTCCACGTGTAATAGGAACCGCCGCCCTGCACTTTGGGCTCGTTCTGAGAGATAGAGTTCTCCGGTGTGTCTTCCTCTCCGTCGGTGGTTTGGGAGAATTTACTTTCCAATGGGGTTTCCGAGTGGATTGTTGGGAGGAGGGGCGATGGGGGTGATTTTCGTGTTTGGTTCTCCGATTGCCGCTTTGTGTATTTCCTTGTGGAGGTGCCGGAGACTCCGTATTCTAGGTATTCGACCCCAATCAGGGCTATTATTAGGTAGCCGATTGTGAAGGCTATTACTATGCCAAAGTTACGCCAGACGTTGGACCGTGAGTAGCCCCAAGCTGCTTGTAGGAAGTCAGTACCCGAGACGAATTCCGTGCCTTGTTGGGCGCCCGCGAGGTAGCAGACTTGTCGGGTCATAGGTTAGCACTCGGTGGGTGGTAACAGGGGAGGGGGAAACCTTTGTTTGCGACACTCGCGGATGGGATGCCGGGGATTAGGTGGGCCTCCGAACATCTAATGAATACGCCCTCCAGTTGGTTGATCATTAGCGCTTCTAGACAGTAGGTCAGCGGCTGCGCCCAGTATATCCACCTGAATACCCAGGACTTCATGTTCGTCTCTGGCTGCAGGTAGCCCGTGAAGAAGATCATGACGTGCAAGCCGAAAAAGGCGGTTCGTATGGCGACATTGAGGTCTTTACTGAAGGCGCCGACGGCACGGTTGAATGCTGTTAGGCAGACAGTGCATGTCTACACCATTATCAATATCCCATCTGTCAAAGGTATTGCAGAGTGGTAGAAGGGGGGACGTACAAACACAAACAGCAGATTCAAAAAGAATTTGCCCGCATTCGCCTCCAAGCTGGCCATAAAGTACAAAACGATGGTGTAAAGCGAGCACTGCACCATCAAAATAGGCAAGTCCACCAATGTCTTTGCCAACACTAGTGCGGACGGGCGATAGAAGGCGAAGGTGGTATGCTTGGAGGTGATGGAGCGGCCGACGGTCATGTCGATAGCCTCGTACATCTGCATCCACCCGATCACGACGATATTGAAGAAGAGGGTTCCCCCGATCGTGAAAGTGCCCCTGGATGTGCGGGTTGTCCCGTAAAACAAACTTCCGATGATGAGGGCGAGGACAAGAGTGTTAAAGAACCGGCTGCCCATGGCGACTTTATCCTGCAGGCGGAGTTGGAAGTCCCGCTTGATGAGGTACCATATCTGTTGTGGCAGAGAGACCACGTAGGGACTGCCCTTCCCGCTGCGCCGGGACTTATCTTGCTTCACGGCGTCGCGGAAGTCGCGCGCGTCCCGACCGGATCGGATTTCCTCGTCGTAAGCGGCCAATTCCTCCTGTAGGGTTGTCCAATGATTGCTATTCCTGAAGGCTGTTTCTAGATCTTGCGGAGTCAACGGTGCTTTGCCTTCCCATCCTTGCCTTATCTTGCGCTTGTTTGGGTCGGTAACACTGGTCAGGAAATCCGCTGTCGTGCTTCGCGGGTTCCGGTAGAAGCCGATTGACTCGAAGTATGGGGCAGCGGCAGATCCCGGCCCGTAGTAGATTTGTCGCCCGCTGTCTACGAGACAGACTTTGTCGAATTCTCTGTAAATTTGCTCGCCGGCTTGGTAGAGGGTTACGATGTTTGTTGAGTGGGTTAGCGTGCTCAGGATTCGGAGAGCGTGGATGTAGTCTACCGCCGTGGAACTGTCGAGCCCGCGTGTGGAGTTGTCCCAGGCGTTGACTGTCGCACGGGATGCTAGTGCCTATCGTGCAGGGGGAGGTTAGTCTGGTCGAGTGAGGGTTGGTGATGGGGAGGGTTTGAATATACTTCTATGATCGACACACGCTTTCGCTCGCCGCCGCTCACTCCGCGGATGAAGGAATTGCCAACCATTGTGTTCAAAGTGTGCGTCATTCCGAACATCTTGGCGAAGAGCTCGAGCATCTGCTGGACAAAGGCGTCTCTCGACAACCCGGGTATACGCGTGGCAGGTGTCTTTGTGCTAAGGGCAAACTTGAGCGTTTGCTGGACGGTCAACGTGGGATGGTGTATATCCTCTTTTTCAAGCCACCCCCACCATGAATTAGCCTCATCACCTTGTCGAGAAGCGGGACGGAGAGGGAAGCAAAAAAAAGAAACAACCTTCACTATTAAACAAAATTTCCCCCCGATACCTCCCCTGCGCCAACTCGAACGGCACCCCAGAGTAGTGTATATCCCCCTCAATGCGGGTAAACTCTCTCTTCTGATTCGTTAACGCGCGCAAAAAGGTGGATGTGCCGCTCCCTGGCCTACCCAGCACCAAGAGCATCTCGCCGGGTCTGACTACTCCGGAGAATCCCTGAATGACATACTTGACATCCCCTCCTCCCCTCCCTCTACTCCAGGCTTTGCTAGCAGCCTTCCGCCCATACTCCCACCCCCGCTCCAGAATGGACTTCCCGAACAGGGTTAAAAACTCATCGAGGAATGTCGACACAACCGTATGCACGGACCCAGTCCCGCTGACGCCCAGGTTTCGGAAGGATACTCCTATCTTTTTCGAGATGATACCGGAGTTGTAGGCTTCCTGGTTGCTACGCTGTAGGTATTCTTCCAGGTCGAAACCGTGGACCTTTGCCGCCTCGGCTTGCTCTACGCCCTCTTCCACATCTTCGATTTGTCGGGACGCGCGGCGGGAGGCTGTGAGTATTCTTGAGTTGCGGTGGGAGTTTGGACGTGAGGATTGGCGGGTTGCTCGGGAGAGTTCTCTGCGGAGTCTGGGGGTCTTGTCAGCAGAGGGGTGGATGGGGTGAAGAAGGGAAAGCTATACTCTTCAAAATCGAACAAAGCTTCGTCGATATTTATTGGTTCGTCTCCCCACCAGTGATACGAACCTCTTCGGCTGGCTCCCGGCGTGGCTTGAGCACCACTGAACCTCTTTGGTTTGTTATCTTCCTCGGCCATTTTCTTTCTTTCTTTCTTTTGCAGAAAGGACTATGTAGAACGAGTTCTTGATAGTTTTCTTTTATTTTTCAAAAGGAAAAAAAAGGGACTCACTCACTCATTCACAGTGAGCTGTTTTCCACTTTTCTATTCTCCCTTCTAATAAGCCCCCGCAAAGGGCTCTATCCGCGAGAATATATCCCCCTCTGCCCTTCGGCCCATAAACCAAAGGTGGTAATGATCGTGGAACCAGATAACTACCCATTGTGGCTGGATTTTATTAGCCCGGCCGGAGAAATGAATGAAAGAGTCGCGCATAGGCACCACCGCCTTTCCTGCAAAGTAACGATTTGGCCAGACTTTGGTGGCGCGGACCTGGAGTACGTAGGATACATGGGGGCCGGCGGTCACATGTTAATCGGAGATAAAACGTCTTAATCGACGGGCCGGTGTGATCTCGGCATTAGTACCGTGTCAGCGATATGTACTGTCTGGGAGCTCTATTGAAGCGAAGTGGGTACCTGCATGTTCCCCAGTGTCGTTCCCTTATGTTGTGCCTGGTCAAATTGTACGGTACGGGTGGAGGTTTTTTTGCAGATCTTGTCACTGTTTTCGCTGCTTGCGGAGATCGCTGTTTTACACCCCGGGATCGAAAATGGTCCGTGCCGAGGCACAAGTACGAGTACATTAGAATACCCCACCCCGTAGCAACGCAGGGGTCACTCCCGCATAGCGGCCTTAACATAAAGATAAGAAGGATCCCTTCTGACGGGAATCACTCATATCCGAGCAACCCTGGGATATAGCCGTATTGAAGTGCGGTGTGACATAGGTAAAAGGCTGAAGACTGACTTGCTCTTGCGGCAAGCACAGAGCAGTATCAGCGATGTAGAGGCGAGTACGGTATCGCGGGTTACCGGTATTAGGCGTTCACTTCATTCCATCGCGCACCCGGATTGCCGTCGCCCCTATGATTATGATCCCGTTATTAAAAGCCACCGCGGCTATCATACCATGCTTGCCCCACTCCCCCGCGCTTAATTAACCCCCATGACCCACCAGAAACCATTCGGAAAAACCCACCGCCGGACTCGACCTTCGGAGAAACCTACGGGAGCGAAAAAAAAAGCATTATCACCGGTATTTCGTATGATAGCACCTCACTCCTCTCGTGATGAGGCTGGCCCGATTCTTTGTTTGGAAAAGGGGTAGAAGGATCATCCGTTTCATATTTTGTATTTGTATTTGTTTTTTTGGGGGGTTTTTTTAATTTTTTTATATAGTTTTGGCACCGAGTAATTCCCCTTCTCCCATGAAAATTCGCACCGGTATGCGCAGGTACGGCTGCGGCGGTGCTCTTTCGCTGCTGTTGAGGATGGATGAAAGGGTCTTGCGGCTGGGCCGTATTACATGCAGGGGGGGGGGATTGGCGGGTTCTGGAAGCAGGAACTTGGCGGGTAATGGGATGGGTGGGCGATCGGATCACGTCAGATCGGCATGCTGATGCCTTTCCGCGTTGTATGTCTTGACAACTCGGAGTCGGGCACTTGATTATTATTGTTGATGGTGATGATGCTTTACATTCCTTTGTTTGCTATCGCCGTTACTCTGGATTTTTGGGTCGACCGTGTGTTTCGTGTGCTTGGGCCATCGTGTAGGATTACGCCGTAGAACCGCAGTGTTTGCCATACCGTACTTTTGGCTGTGTCCGAGGGGGGGATGTGCGGCAGAAGGGGAGATTCAGCTATCGTGGACAATCTCGTGTTCACACGTTTAGAGGCCAGAGAGAGAGAGAGAGAGAGAGTGTGTGTGTGTGTGTGTGTGTGTAGATGTGTGTGACAGGAACTGGTATCGTGTCGTTTCCTCTAGAGGACCCACTGCTTACCCTTAAACCCCTCCAGCCCAGTTAGGCCCCTGCCGCTGAGCAAGCCCTTAACCACATCCCTCGCGCTCCTAACACAATCGTTTAATCCAACCCCCATGTAGCTATTCCCGGCCACGCTCAGCCGTCCATTAAATCCCATCAGCAGGTCCTCATGCGCCGTCTCCATCCGCTCGTCGTGGCCGACCGTGTACTGTGGGATACAATCCCTCTGCAAGGTGGCATTGGTGAGTACCGGTGTTTCTGCAATTCTCAAGTGCCGTTGCAACACTGTTCTTGCCATCTTGACGGCTTCGTGCTTGTCTGGGTAGGAGGCACGGCCTTGCCAGTAGTGCCCACCCATCATCACTGTCACTTTGGTGCCAGGGGATGGGGTGGTTTCAGAGTCGAAGATCACTCCGAGTGCTTTTTCGGGATTCTCGGAGCCCGGGATGGATTTGGGGATTAGGTAGCCGAAGCCTTGGACTGGAAGGAGGTTTGGTGTTCGGTAGTAAAGGTTTACCACTAGAACCGTGACGGCTTGAATGGATGCTAAGGAAGGGGATTGCAGAGGTGCTGGGAGGAGGGAATTGAGTGATGGAGCGAATAGGGTCGATATTACATGGGAATAGCTGACAGGATTTTTTGACCCTTCAGTGATCTATCGAAAGGGTTGGCGTAAGGAAATATGAATGCCTTGGGGAAACCATAGGACTTACATTGATTGGCAATCCCTGAGCTTTGATATAATCGATCTTACCCAATCTCGTCCCAAGCTTTATTGTGACGTTGGGGCTTTTCTCTAGGTCTCTCGCTAAGGCTACACTGAGTGTTTCGATCCCATTCTTAAACGAGTACACGCTCGTCTCTTTCATCCGCATGCAAATGCCGACATTATCGTCATACAATTCTGCTCGGGTGGCCTGGTCGTCCTCGGTTTCTATTGTCTTGTTACTAAGGGCACTCTTCACCAAGCTTCCTTGGTGCTCCTCGGCCATCCAAAACCTTGGGAACAGCGACTTTGCGCTGAGCTGATCTATGTCACCCGCATATATTCCGTGCAGCCCCGCCGACACGAGGTTGTTTGCTAGGGCTTTGTTGAAACGTCTGCTAATGAAGCTGCCCACCGATTCGTCCGTCACATCCGCTGGTCGGCGCTTTCTGAAGGGCTCAGCAAGGATCCCGGCAAAGACACCTTTCATAACCGGCAGGTGTGGGGCCAGCAGCAGGGAGAGCAGGCTGCTCGGAAGCTGGTTTAGACGATCGGGAAAGTAGATGAATCTATTTTTAGCAGCAGGGGTATTTTTCGAGATGAGTATCAGCTCCTTCTCCAAATCCAACTGCCGGATCTACTTTACGGTAAGCCGCTAGTACAGACGCCGGGGTTTTATTCATTTGAAGAACAATTGCGGGGCATCGATCGAGCGTACCATATCTATTGTAACCAAGCCGGAAACCGTCCAAGGACGAATCGTCCGAGGACCCTGTTCAAACTGGATAGTTCCATCCTCGGATTCGATTCGCTTGGTGTTGAGCCATCCCCCGAGTCTATCGAGCTTCTCGTACAATGTAACGGGGATGGAGGGAGCAAGCTTGGAGAGGTACCAGGCAGCAGATAGACCGGTAATTCCTCCGCCTAGAGAGAGAGGAAGAAATAGAGGAAAAAAAAAAGTCAGTCCCCGCTTCTCACTGGGTGCTCATGCAGGGGGGTGCAGGATGAACCGAGAACTGCGACTGACTCGATTGTGCCGGTCGGCGTGGTGCGGTGTAGGTACCGCTGCGAGGTTTGACGGGGACTATGCGTGGTTCGCGAGAAACATACGGAGGAGGCAGGGGAGAGAGAGGGGAGGATGATCAAGCGGTGTCTCTGCGGGTTCAACATTGCATGCACGATGGAGGTAGGTTACCCGGTATGCGTGGTGGCTTGGTGGGTGTGGTGGATTGAATTGGGTTGAGTAGGGTAACTTACCGTACCGTAATGATGGGGAGGGGAGATGGAAGAGGGTCTCAGAGTGTGGGTAAAGCACGGCAGTCAGGTGACGGTCGAGACCCCCTCAATTTTTTCCACTTCTACAAAGATCAACCTGTCGAAGTTACAAGCATGGCGCAGTGGGCAATCGTTTGTCTATCGATGCTGAATTCAACAATGAACGGGGTCCCGACGTCTTGTAATTAGTCGTGCTCGTTGAAATGCGTCCGCTCCCGAAATTTTGGTCCGGGGGTGTGCGATACTTGTAGATCCTCTCGCAATACAGTAGGAGTGCAGTCACTCAAGACCCCGCACAACAGCAACGGGTCTGGAGTCAATTAATCTCCGGGTATCATATCATGAATTTATGTTCCATTTATCCCTCAGGAAAGGGGACCTGCAGATCGACAGTAGCCCCCACGCAACAATTATTTGGAAACATGTATTCCACTTTTCGGAGCACATGAAATACCCTACATTGGTCCCATTGGCCGATGAAAGCCATCACCAAGTAATTGATAAAAAAACAAAAGAACGGTGTTGAGTCAGAGTGCTGCACTGTACTGTACAAGTACAGTACAATACCATCATGGTCTGTGATATAATACATGAGCTCAAGATACCTACCGTACAGTGCCCGCAAATTGGGTCTCATACAAGTTATGTAGTTCCGTTGCCGCGCATAACATAACTCTTCTTCGGGGGTGGAAGGTGTATGATATAATACAAGTATGCTGCTGTACGAGTAGAAGCTCGCATGAAGAATCATGCCTTATTTCCGTACAAGAGTGTGGTACTGTAGGAGGACTACAGTAGTACAACATTGCCTCCTCCTCGCCGACAAGCTCCGCAATCACCCAATGAACAATCTGGGAAAGCTATAGTACAATTGAGATATATTTGACGGCCGACCCACTCTAGGCACCCAATTCCTGGGGTCGCAAAAATTTTCTCTCCGCACTCATTTTCATCCATCTCGCCGAGATGGTCTCTCTCCTCCTTTTCCTTCCCTCCTAGTTCCCGTGCCACGGTATGAATGCTATGCGGGTGGAATATCGTATCACGGACAAGAAATTGCGAATTCGGCTTCGGCATTTATCTATTTGCAGTATCTTTCTTTTAGTTTCCAATGGAGGCCGAGACGGCGCTTTTAATGCAGACATCCACAACGGAGTGAGATTAAAATCATGAAGATGATTGATCCTCATCCCCCCTAGATGGATGAGCACTGTAAAAGCAACCGTCTACCAGTAATTATACCCCTCTGTAGAGTGGAAAGTAAATTTATCGTTCGCACTTATCTCAGCTATCTTACCAAAGTATGGAGAGAGCTTAGAGCCCGAGCTGTCGATCACACAGATAAATAAAGCAAGACTAGTATGCAAAGCGTCCTTAAAAAGGGCCGACCGATGTAACATGCTGTTTACATGTTCCGCGAATATTGAGTGTTTTATTTTCTCGGATCTGGGCCGTACCGATAGCGGTGTGGGATTGCGGTCTTTTTGTTTTTTTGGAACTCTTCGTTCGGGTTTTGGTAATTTAGAGCTGGTGGTCGCCTTTCTTCGCCGACTGGCGGGCGGAGCTGGGATAACTCCGCGGATTATCATGCGGCAAATTTATGTATGGTGCGGTTTGCAATTCGTGGAATCCTATTGTGTAAGCTGAACCGTACGGATCAGTACGGTACGGTACGCCCTGCGGTGCTATGAACTGTTTGTTCTACGAGTATGATATTGTGGTGATACTTGGGGGGGGGGGGGTACAGGCAAGAGTGTGCTGGGATTCCAGTAAGAATTTACCGGGCCGTCATATCATCCCGACACTCCCCGCTTGACTTCATTTGGCTGTGTGGTATCGGTACTTTGCTGTGGTGTGCCGGGAATGTCGGTACCAGTATGTTCTATGAGGTCAAACAAGTATGAAGTGTCACCATCAAGCATTGTACCAGTAACACAGGTGCAGAGCCTCCTGCAAGCTTTTTTTCTTTTTCCTTTTTCAATTTTTCCCCCCATACACACCAGTCATCTTGAACACCACCAACTGTCTGCGACGGACCAACAAGACACAGACCTCACCAGAAAAAAAAAAGTGAAGAAAAAAAAAAAGCAAGCTATAATCAAGCGGGAGCTACCGTACCGTATCTATCTATCAAGATGAGATCCCAACAGCTATATAAGGACCTTGAACACTCCACCCCACCTCTTCTCCCTCCTGCGGAAACCTTCGCCGCAGAGTAGTACAATAAACCATCAAATGGACCCAACGGCAGTGACAAAATGGCTCGATAGCGTGTACCTTCCCCCCTCCTTCATCCATTCCCCCGTTCCTCCATTCCTCGGACTAACGAAACTAGCATGGGAGCATCAAACGTGACAGGCGCCCTACTAATTGATTCGCAAACTGGGCTTTGTCTTGGAGGTTTGTTTGTTCCTCCCGCACAGGAGTTGACGGGGGGTTAATGTTTGTATGATACGGCGATGCTATAGCTCGAGGGAAAGCCACCGAGGATGATGCTACTTACATTGCTGTTGCTTCGCGGACTGCGCTGGATGTGAAAGGGGTTGGGGCAGTTGCTTATAAAGATAGGTATGATACGGTGTCTTTTCTAGAAGGGGGAGGAGGAAGGTGGAAGGAGGAAGGCTAATTGGCGGTGTTTGGGAGATTTAGTAAAGTGATTCTGCAGAAGGGTGGCAGTGGTGTCTTGGTTGCGGTTTATAAGGAGAAGGATTTGCTGGGGGAGTCGCTGGATGAGATGTGAGGTGTCCGTCTGTTTATCTCTCGGGGAACTGATACCTTTCTTTCTTCCCACCCATGATATCTATGGTACTTGAAGTGGGAGTCTTTCTTTTCTTGGCAAGCATATCTCATTAGACGGTATTTTTATTTTGCGTTTATCTCTAATGTTATTCATCTGTTCCCTCTCCCATAAAACCGTCCATCCATTCTCCCGTTTCCTTTTCAGCACTCCGCTGGGGATCCGAAATCTTTCAAACCTACTCTTCCCGCTTCCCCCCTTCCCAATCCTCAACTTCCTCACTCCTGAAGAGGCCAGCCCACCAAGTACCGACGGCGATCATAACGGTGAAGAGCACCCAGATCACAACACCAATCTCGATCAGGACAAGGATGATCCACAAGATACCCTGACTCTCGTCGCCATCACCGACACCCGCTGCTTCTCCGTCTTAGCCATCGCTCCTCCCAAGAGCCACGTATGCACGGGAAAGTGGGAACACTACTGTAACCCGTCTGCATTCCCCTCGGCCGGATTCTCGCCACCTCCGAGAGATCCGCTTCTGGAACGTGCACGTCCGGTAGTGCCTTTCGCCAGTAGTTTCGGCATACGTGCTCCAGCTGCGCCCACTGGAGCTGCAGGATCTCCAAAAAATTCTGAAATCCCATCCTGGGTGCTTGTTCGTTTGGGGTGTGTTGAGGTTCCGGAGTTTACTGCTTAGCGAGCGCGGGCTAAACTACCGTATCTTATCTTATCATATCCGGCGGTGTGGTTTAGTCACTTTTGCCTTCTCCCATTTCGTCTCCTCTCTCTTGTTTTTTTTTTTTAGTCATCCCTAGGAAAACGGGTGGAATTCAGCGACGAGTGATGTTCTATGATAGTCTGTGCTTTCTTTCTGCAGAGAATTTAGTATTTTGAGAGGGCCAGGTTCAATCTGAGAGATGGCAATCATGGAATTAACATTTTCTACTCATACTAGTAGTTCCCTGTTAATTTTCTTGGTATTATTGAGCCCCCCGCTACTGATATTCCCCCCACTACTCTACAGTACCCCACCGCTCGGCCTCCCGCACTCAAAAGTTACTCGCGAGTTCGCTCGTACCGTATCATACTGCACCTCTGATCGTCCTACTGCGCTTTGCCCCTTACCTTCTAAAATCTGCTCGTAATCACCCCTGTGATATGATACAAGGTTCACCTGCATTGAGGAAAGAAAGGGAAAAGAAAAGAAGGGATTTTTTTTTTGCTTTTCGCACCGCTATTTTCAGTCGTTCGGCCCGACCCGTCATCCCTTGCCGTACTCGAGTACTCTTGTGCAGGACGCCCTCGGCTGGCGAAACCATGTTTACCACCGTAGGCGGACTTTTTGATCTAGTTTATTTCAACAGTTGGCGGTGGACGGTCCGGTACCATACTAGTACCGTGGTGCGTACCGGTATTTCAGGAGTCTTTCTGCTGGGTTGATGATGATGATATGGCGAGGGGTAGAATATTATATCATAATTGGAGTTAATTTAGTTAGGCACAGTGCTTACCGGCGTTTTCTGTTACCGGTTTTGTGGTCCATGGGGTGGAAGGATGTTTTGGGGAATTGTAATTTATCGGCGGGTTGGATGTACTCGAGTACTCGTACCTGGTACAGTACTGTTCTTTATGATAATCACTTGCTGCGGTGTGGGTGTGGAGGGGGGTAAATTACCTGGAGGAAGAACCGGTTTGTCGGGTGGGGGTGCGTCAATGAGTGGCTTATCCATGGTCAGGCTTGGCTTGGTATAATACATACAGTACCATAAGGTAAATCTAAGTTCGCCAACGGGGTGTCTGGGGTTTCTTTCAAGTTGGCTGCGGGAATGGCAGCTGTCGGCAGTAATTTATATTTACCTGTGAAACTGCTGGTATGGTAGAGTATATCCCGCTGTATAGGAGTATAGTACCGTACTGTCAGGGGATTGGGAGGGCACAGCACTTGTGAGAGATGACGACAATGCTTGTCATATCATTACTGCTTCGTTCGCTAATTAATTTGACATTCCCACTCCACTTCTAACTTGTGGGCGATGAAGATAGAATAAAAGCGGGGGCACGGAGGGCAGAAGACGAGCATTACTGGATTTTTTTCTTCTTTCTCTTTTACTTTTGTCTTTCTTTATCGCTCATATAAGTTAGTGGTCTATTTCACCGGTGAATGGTTGAGGGTTCATCTTAGAACAAGATTGCATCACCTCCCATTTGCATTTTCTTACTTCCTGGAAAAATATCGTTATCATTGAAGTGCTTTATAATAGTCTACTCGAGTGGCCGGATTGAAATTAGAAGATGCCTAAGTAAGTTATGCGGTGGGGGCTTCTGATTTCAATCCGGCCACTTGAGTACTGCCTGTTATTTTGGTCATTTCCAAGGCTCTCTGGCATCGGTGACAACAGATGGATTTATCATACCTTCTGCCATCACCCGTGAAAGAATGTCAAAGATCAGAAAGATCCGACAGTAACTAGAGTACGCTACTGTAGCCTTTTCCATTAAATTTTGTGGGTAACAAGCAGGTGTAAGTTTCGGGGTTGAAGGTTGGTCAAGTTATCATACATACAATGGGTTCCAGATGACGCACGGGTACAGTATGATATTCGTAAGGTGTTCAGGTCATATTGAACCACCCTAGAAGGATTTTTGAAAAATCCAATAAGACGCGGAATGCATTTTTGAAGAAAACCTGGTATCGTGTCAATATTTCTCTCACGCTGTGAGATAGAAAGGGCCAGGTAAAAGTTACCCTACGGTATAGCGCCATTGGGAGGGGAATGAAAGACTCACCGTTTGATATCGTTCGCTCTCTGTTCGCTAGCATGGGTTTTGGTTGGATTTTGTATAATGCGGGGTAAATTTACACTTTTGTGCTGTGCCAATATGCTCCATTGCAGGTGCGTGAATATTTCTAATTTAGTTAGCGACGACGAGTTGCCTTCTCGCCGCTGGGGCTTGGTAATACAGTGCAAGGCTGACTTTGGCTCGGGATGTTTCACTAGCCTTGTCCCTTGAGACTAAGTACTGTGCAAGCTAGGTTATGCGTGCAACTGAAACAGTTGGGGTTTATTTGACTCGATGCAATGACTGGATGGGGCTTACCGCTTACTATGTATGGATGGATTCTGTATGGTACGGTAGAGCCTAAAGGCAACAAAGTCAAATCCGAGGCGGGCTTCCCTCGGCCAGTAGCCATAATATGTCACCCCACGAAATTCTCCTCTTGAATCATTCGGGAGAGGGAGGTGTTGCCACCGTGCTGCTAGTAGAGAAATTTGCTGGTTGCTGGATCAAGTCTTCGATTCTTTTCTCAGGAGCTCAACGCATCTGTGGGTTTCCCGTTAATATATTTATCGAGTTGCGATCACCGCAGTCACAGAGGGGTTCCTGATATAATGAGGTATCATACTAATCGCGGGGAGACCCTATAATACTGCGGCGTCTTTGATTTCAGGGATGGCCGTTTGCTGATACACTCGGTATCCATTGGGTAGAGGGGATGAACTGGAGGTGGGATGAAAGTTTGTTCACTGGATTTGCCGTTTTAATTATTCTTATGATGATACTACCATGGGGCGGCCGAGCTGATGGGGGGCTTGGTAACAAGGGAGGTAAGGTTTTCTCAGGTTTTTGATAAGTTTTGGGTTCAGCCTAGAGTAGCTTCGCGAACTGCGACCAGCCTTCGGACATGGGATTGGTTTATGATAGAGTGTGCCGCTAGCGTCGGGATGCAAGTTCCCTCAGTGAGGGATAGACTGCTTTAGAGGCATTGAGAAAGATGTCTTCTTCCCAGCTTGAGGCGTCATGGTTGAGAAGTGCCGTGTTGGACTACCTCCTAGGGGGTTTTCTTTTTATCTTGGGGAGATTCTCGGAAATTGACCAAGATCTCCTAGATCAGGGGGGGGGGAAGCCGGATTTGTCGACCGATGGGGTTGGACAGTTGTGCCGTCTTTGTATATTCTTGGTGTAAATGCGTCGAGTTTCCGCAGCTGTTTATCCCCCGTTGTTGACTGAAGATACATTCTTCAGCTGGTCCTCTGGCCTGTTTTGGCATCGTGCTGGAGCTATGATATTTGCCCTGATTGGAGAAATTTCTAGTGAGGATATATGATGATGGCTAATGCCATTGCGGTCGAGAGTGCCCAGTTCCTGGTCCGTTCGTGTCTGTATTTTGAGAACAATCCCTGGATTCTCAAGCTCGAATCATCTTTTTCACTGTTACACATATGATGTGAGTACAGTCGGGCTAAAGGTGCGAATACCGGTCTTTGTGTGCTTGCTTTTTCTCTCACTCCAATGAGTCAGAATTTCAGACTCGTGTTGCTCAGGTGCAGCCTGGACCCTCTTTAATGATACACCGGTATCCTGAAGCCTGCCGTTGGGATAGGCGTCAACCGTGGATCATACGGTATCAAAGCTCGAGACGGATGGTCGGGAGAACGACATCCAAGACAATTAAGTGGAACATTATTACGGTAGCGCGGCGAAACGCGCGGACCGTGCACACGCGTTTATCTTCTCCACAACTCCAACCCTGACCCTTGCGCGGGGCTAACGTAGCCCACTTCCTTAATTGGGATGCTTTATCGATTAACGCCAAGATTTCGCACCTGATTAGGTTAGTCACTTGTTGCCTGTTTTTTTTTTTCTTCCCCTTCTCACATAAAGTTCTTCCAGACGATCGTGTTCCTCCTCCCTCCCTCCCACCATCTTTCTCTCTCGTCCATTCTCCACCCTCTCCTTCATCCGTTCTTTTGGGAGTGATTTTTGTTCAATCTCTTTTTTTCTTTCTGCTGGTTAATTATACCAATTAATCCTTAGACTAAAATGTCGTCTCTTGTACCGGTCGCTCTTTGGAGCCTTCATATCTCGCCCAAACAGAGTCTTGTTCCGGCCGTTAACGCTTTTCCTGCCACTGTAAGAATTCCCCTTTGTTTATTCGCTTCCCTGTAGGTGCTGACGAGCGCAGATTCGTTTGACTATGGCAGCAATTGATCCGTCTGCTGAGCCTTATGAGGAGGGGAAGCCGATGCGTGCTACTCTAAAGGTTTTGCGTGAACCTGTTCCCGATTCTGATGACGAAACCGAAACCGAAACCGATTCTAGATCTGAAACCGAAACCGATTCCGATTCCGATTCCGATTCCGAGCCAGAATCGGATGGGGGGGTTGAGAAAGCGATAAAGAGCTCGCCCAATAGTAAGCAATCGCCTAAGAGCAAAACGAGCAGCGACGATGCGATGGATGTTGAGGGCACCGACGGCGACTTTGACTCTGATGCCGGGGACTCTGATGAATCGGGGACCTTGGACTCTTTTGTCGTCTGCACTCTGGATTCAGATAAGGTAGGGCCTTTGTGCGGTATCGCTTTGTGGGCTGATGGCTGATCCGTTGCAAAAGCACTGTCAACAAGCTCTTGATCTTGTCATTGGCGATGACGAGTTCGTTTACTTCAAAGTTGACGGAAACTACGATGTCTATCTTACTGGCAACTACGTTGTCAGTCCCGGAGATGCTTATGATAGCGATGGCGAGGACGATGATGGCGATTATGATCTCTCCCCCGACGAGGATGAACTTTGTCCTGACGAGGAAACTGACTCTGACGAGCTTGATGATCTTGGCGACCCTCCACGCATCCAAGAGGTTGATACTGATGAAGAGGAGGCTGCAGCGGCTTCCAAGTCTCTCATGCCCGCTAATGGCGCTAGCAAAAAGGACAAGAAGGTCGAGAAAGCCGAGAAGGTTGATAAAGCCGAAAAGGTTGATAAGAAAACTGAGAAGAAATCCCTGAAGCGCCCGGCCGAGGACGAGGTGCCTCGCACTATCGATGAGATGATCGACGGAGCGAAGCCTGCGCCTGAGAATAAGGGTGAAGCTGAGAAGAAGCTTTCTAAGAAGCAGCTTAAAAAGCTCAAGGCGAATGATGGGAAGGCTGTTGAAGCGACTGCTGATTCCAAGGCCAAGGAAGCTAAGAAGGTCCAGTTTGCTAAGGAACTTGAACAGGGACCTACCGGGTCCCCAGTCACTGCTGTGAAGAAGGAGAAGAAGACACCTAGTGCAAAGAGGGTTATACACGGAGTCACCGTTATGGATAGCAAGGTTGGAACTGGTGCTACCGCTAAGAAGGGTAGCAAACTCTGCATGCGCTACATTGGAAAGTTGGAGAATGGCAAAATCTTCGATAGCAACACGAAGGGGAAGCCTTTTTCCTTCCAGCTGGGCAAAGGCGAGGTAATCAAGGGCTGGGATGTCGGGCTTGATGGAATGCGCGTCGGCGGTGAGCGTCGGCTTAATATTCCGGCTGCTTTGGCCTATGGAAGGCAGAATATTCCTGGAGTTCCGGCCAATAGCAACTTGATTTTTGATGGTATGGTTCTTTTTCTGCAATATTCTGAAAACTACTAGTGCTAACTTTTCTTCTCTTCTATTGATAGTCAAACTCACAGACATCGAATAATCTCGCCCAGCAGGGAGGAAGCGGGAGATTGCTAGAAAAATTTACCCTTTCCTTGCTTTCCTTCGTCACTGTCTCATAAAGAGGGGCCTTGTGTGTAAGTTAATTGAACTTTGTCCGATCGTCATTACATTTCTTTCTTAACGGCAGCCAGTTGTGCTACGGGTGTACCGACCTATAGTTTTGTTTCTGAAGGTCGGGATATCGTGTTTTTTTCCCCCTGTGGTCTTTTCAAAATCAAAAAGTTTTTTTTTCTTTCTCTTCTAGTTGCTATTACATTCATGGGATATCCGGTAGGTTGACTAGCTAGGGTTGCTTGCGCTCGCTTTTTTATCTGTTGTTGGGGTTGACTGTGATGGATTGGATTCCGGGTGGAGTCGGGATGTAGTATTGTAGTGTAGCTTTGAAAAAAAGAAAAAAACGCTTCTTGGACGAAATTTGCTTGCGCAGTGAGCGGGAGATGCACTATGCTGTGAAGGCTGGGGAGATAGGTGAATATTATATGTGAATGAAAGAGACTGGGTTTGAATCGCATGTCTGTACCCATCTGCGAAAACCTTATGTACGAGGCTCTTTGCCGCTGTGCCGTATTTCTGTCAAAAGGAGCTATGGCAAGGTAAGACTAGTCCCCCGACTAGTCTTAACTTCTTTATACGATACTTCTCTGGCGGTATTCCTGGGCCGGGGCTACACAATGCTGGCCGGGTGGTTGATGTGGTCAGAAAAAAAAAAAAGGCGGTAGGCCCGGGTTGTTGGTTGACTGTCTGTCTCGTTTGAATTTTGGGAGCGTGGAGAGGGGGGCTTTGATTGGGTTTGGGCAAGGGCGTGCTGGGGGTTGAAAGTCTGCTTGTGTGGTGGGAGGGGGCTTTGTTGCATTGTATAGGGGGTGGTGCAGCTTTTCTGTGGAGAAATATCATATGTAGGTCCATGAAGGAGTCTTGATATTGGGGTGCTTGGCCTAGGATGGAGGGTTAGGACATCGATGCCTGGGGCTTGCGATGCGGGATTCGGAACCTCTGTGATCCTTCTCTTTTGTTAGCTTGTGAGCTCAAACCTTTGTTTTTTTTTGTTTGGAGTCATGTAATCTCACTCGTTGTTGGTGTCTAGACTATTCTCTTGACGACTGCTTGAATGGCACTGCTCTGGTTGTTAGCTGCTCTTGCTGCGTTTGGATATCGTGGATGGAGGTTCTTGGTGTTAGGCACGAAGATTTTGTTTTGGGCATTACGTGAATCTAGAATAGTAGGGGGAAGATTTTTGGGCTGTGGACGAGGCATCCGGATCGGGGGGTGAGCAGCATGGTTTGGGGGATGTAAGTGTGCCTGGAGTACGTACTCCTTTTTTTGCTGACTTTGCTTATGGAATGCCTGGGCGCACTTCTTGCCCCCTACTTAAACACACTGCCCCCCCTCCATCCATTCGTCTCCTCTCTTCCTTCTACATCGACATCACATTTTCTTTTGTAAAATGCTGTACTCTCGAATTGCTTCTGCCCCCGAGCGAGCCCTCGGGTGGCTTCTTTTTTCTTTCTTCTTTTTCTTTTTCTTTTCGGTAATCGTGTTGGCCCGTATGGGTTCAGCGATTACCCCTATCTCCCACATCGTGGGAGAACTCCTGGTGGAGTTTTGTTTGCTGTTTGGTGGCCGGAGTGGTTTTGTTCCCCCTATTCTAGTTTTTTTTATCTTCGTTTAGTATGGGCTAATGACAATGGATGTAGGTCCGGATGAGGAGGCTGTCAGCTCCTCTTCATCTGGAACTCCACCGGATAGCCCGTCCGGATCGCATTCTAGCGACCCGGATGATTGTGAGGGCAGTGGTGCCTGCCGAAGCACTCGGGTTCGCCCGAGCACCACGAGCCCGATTTTGAGGTGGTGGCTTGATAGCGGGCCTTACCTCTGCCAATTTTCGGAACCCACTGAGGGGTATGACTCAGATGCCGAGTCATCGGCATTCGAGGAGTGCCCCCGTGGCTGGTTTCCTGGGGCTTCCTTCCCCTGTCTCCCCCCTCCCTCCCCTCCCCTCCCTCCTCCTCCTACCACTCCCTCCCTCCCCTCCCCCTCCTTCCCTCCTCCTTCCAGCCGCTGCTCCTCCGTCTCCTCCGCACCCCCTCTGCTGTCGCTAGCTGCGGTCAGTGGGGACTGCAAGGAGCT